TGTAATACCCAAGTAATTATATTCTTTTACTATGTCAACGGGGTGACCATTTATGTGAAAATTAAGATGGGAATGCTTTTTACCATTTTTCTCAAATATCACAACTTTGGATTTTTTATCATTAACAGTCAATTTCCATTTTGTGCAATAATTTTCCAGTTTGTTAAGTAATCTTTGAAGACCTTCACTAGACGATGACAGTAATATAAGGTCATCGGCATATAATATGTGGCATAAACCGTTCACTTTTCCTGTATTGTTTCTACACTGTAGGCTTTCTCTGATATCATCGATGAAGATATTAAAAAGAACAGGGCTGAGGTTATCCCCTTGACGAATACCAATTCGTGAGGTGAATGGCTCTGTGTAGCCACCTTGAACAGAAATTCCTAGTTTTGTGTTTTGGTACATTGATTTTACAACTCTATAATATTTTCCACAGATTCCCAAATTAAGCAACTTTAATAAGAGACCCTTGTGCCAAACTGAATCAAATGCTTTTTTGAGATCGATGAAACATGCATAAATGCGTTTATTTTGGTTAACATATTGATTTATTAGTGATTTCAATGTAAAAATGTGATCAGTAGTACGAAAACCTGGTCTAAAGCCTGCCTGTTCATTACTGAGTTTGCCGTTAGTATCTAGGAAATCATTGAGTCTGCCAGCCATAATTGAATTAAAAAGTTTTCCAAGGCAGCTAGTTATGCAAAGCCCCCTATAATTTGTTGGGTTCATACGATCCCCTGATTTGTATAGAGGAATAATAATACCTAAGTTCCAAGAGTCTGGCATTTCTGAAGTGTTAAGGACTAGATTAAAAATCTTGGTGAGTGGTCCTATTATATATGGAGCGCTAGTTTTGAGCATTTCATTTTTAATTTTGTCCTGACCTGGTGCCTTTCCATTTTTTAGGGCTTTCAGTGCCTTTTTTACTTCAGATATTGTTATCGGTTTGTCCAAGTATGTATTACCAGGTAAATTTTCCTTTTGTTTGATTTCAGTATCTATTTCATGATCCCCAGTAGGTGTCATTCCACATAATTGATTAAAGTGTTGTAACCATACATCTGGACTTATCAGATTGCCAGAGTCTTTATTTTCTTTCAGTTTTTTGATAGTTTTCCAGAATTCTTTAGGGTCCTTATTTTCATTGTCAAGGAGTTTTTCTAAAAGTGAATCTTTGAATTCTTGCTTTTTGTTTTTAATTAGTTTTTTGTATTTTTTAACAGCTTCATGATATGTATGCGATATAAATGTGTTCTGTGGGTTATTCTGTAACAGCTTCCCCAAGCGTTTTATTTCACGTCTGACTTCTGCACATGTTGCATTAAACCATGGCTGTTTCTTCGCTCTTACTGGTTTGTTTTTCTTTTTTGTTACAGGGTGTTTTCGCTGAACTAATGATTCATTAGCTGTATTCTCGAGTAGGTTTGAGAGCGTCTTACATGCTGCATTAACCCCTTCTTTGGTGGCCGGATAATTAGAATGTTGCAGTTTGCTTAAAGCCAGAATAGTTTCATCTTTTTCAAGGGCTTCAAGAAATTTTTCAGCAGAATCATTTTTCCATATGTATTGCTCACTAGCCTTGAGAATGGGTGTCGAAGTATTTACATTCTTGATTCCTGTGCCTTGGATTGACAGGTCTATCAGACAATGATCAGAGATGTAGTCTATTGGGTGAACTGTGCAATATCTTACTTTGTTAAAGAGAACATCACCAACAATAACATAATCTACCGTGCTACATCCATGTCTATTGTAACAAGTAAAATAACCTAAGGAGTTGCCAAGTGTCCTACCATTAACAATGCTGAGACTGCTACTTATGCACAGCTCAATCAAACTTCGACCTTGCGAGTTAACTATAGGGTCGAGATTATTTCTCCTCTTTGGTGTAAAGTCTGGTCTACAGATATTCGGTAAGAGTGGACCTTTGGCGTTATCATTACTGGTAACATCAGGCAATGTACCAGTGCGTGCGTTAAAATCACCTAATATGCAAATTTCACCATACTGTTGGTAGTGAGCTATTTCATTTTCTAAGATCTCAAAAGTCTGTTCATCATTTGGACCATTGTTTGGTTTAATATAAGCAGCACAAATGAAGAGGTCCCTTTCTAAGCCAAAATGAGTGCCCTGTAGTTCTATCCATAGTAAGTTTTCACTTTTGCTTTCATGTGCTTTAATTGCCCCACCAAACTCCTTTTTGTAATAGATCACTATCCCTCCCGAGGGCCTACCTTTATTTTTCTTCTTTTTTCGCATTCTAAGAAAATGACCATGAGAGTTTGTGGGTAAAACCACCTTGGATCTTAGGGTGGTAAATGTTTCAATACAAATGAATATGTCATAGCTCTCTACTGTTGTTATAAAATTTTCATCTGAAAGCTTATTCCCTAGCCCTCTAACGTTTCTCATTCCAATGCGCAACATTGTCAGAAAAATCTATACAAGTACTTGTAATTCTGCCAAAAAATAACTGTTTTAACCACCTAAAACATCAATATATTAAAAGTATGTACAATAATTAGGTAAAGAGTTTTCCAAATTCATTCGATATAGGCTAAAGTATATATTTGAATATTAAGTCAACACAGTAAGAGTGTTGTAGCATAAAGCATGATGTTATACTATGTTATTTTCAGCGTAGTTTCATTTCTAGCTTACCCAGACAATCCCGTAAAAGTTTGAGTTCATTTTCAAGAGTGTTGCTCTGATTTCTATGTTCGTGACGGTTCCACTTATTGCTTGTTGTATTACCCTGATGCTGATACATCCTCCTATTTTCCAGACAATTGTAAGGCTTTGAAAGAGCTGAGGGTTCTTGCCATGTGCGCACCTTAGTAGATGTTTTATTGTGGTATGGGGTCTGTCCTGTTGCAGTTTTGATACCGCGAGCGAGCGCAGCAGTTCCTTTGTAATTTAGATGTATTCCATCGTAAGCAAAGTAGTCTCTCCTATCGGTGATATTAGTATTTGCCATGAAATGGACATTTTGTTTTTGGCAGTGTTCTTTGAGAAGAGAGTTTAACATCATTCCTTTCCTATTAAACCTGCTATTTCCCCATCGAGGTAAAATACAACTTATTATGATTTTTGCTTTGGGGTATTTAATGCGTGTGGTGTCAATAAGGTCCTTAGTAGAGCTTAGGACTGCTTCTGGTTCTTCTCTGGCCAGGTCGTTTGACCCAATAGCAAATGTGATTGTGCGCGGATGACCAAAGTCATTTTCAGTAATAGTAGATATTGCATCAACTATATGTTTCCCTCTCATGGCGATGCACCGGCTCTTAGTGTGGGGGAAAAGTTTGTTGGCATCAAGGTTTTTACCAATGGAGCTGGTAATTACAATGTTATCAAACTTGTTCTCACTTTCTGGTGTAGTTGTGCCCATAGGAGTGCTAGTAGGTAGCGGGTTCGTCACCTCTTCCGGAAAGGTGTAGGCATTGGTTTCAGACACTGCAGCTGCATAAGATTTCTTTACAATTGGAGAGGTAGTTGAATCAGCTGAGGTGACCATAGTAGCTGCTTGTACTTTGTTGGTGCCAGATACCTGTACATTATGTTGACTAGCAGACTGGACAGGTAGCTCCAAAGTGTTGGCATCTGTATTGTTTGGAGTGACCTTAGCAACCGTATCACTTGATGTGGGAGTGATGGTATCAGTTACAGTATCAACAGAAAGTGTTACAGATTGAACAGGTACAGGTTGCTCAGGTGTGGAGGGCGTGTCAACTGCAACTGCTACTGGTATGATAAGATCTGCAGCTACTTTGCTAATTGCAGGGTTGTCAGTTTGGTTCATCTGAGAGGGCTTGAAGGGTTGTGCTTGAGGCTTATCATATATGGTGATCTCAGGTAGATTTACCTGGATTTCTTCTTCAGAGGTATCCACAATACATTGAACTGCTTTGTGGCCAGTGCTGTAGGAAGATTGAGTCCCTTTGTTGGCGGTGGTTAATTGTATTTTGGGTGGGACAAAGTTTTTGATGTTGGCAACTTCTTCAGTCAGTGCCTGCACTTGTGACATGAGTTTAGATAGTAGGCCAATTATCTCATTGTCCTTTGCAGAGGATGTTGTTATTAGCCCCTGCAGTGCTTCATTCATCATCACTAATTGACTGTCCTGCTTGTCCTTTTTGGCATCCTGCCTTTGTAGGTCAGCCGTTTTAAGTAGAATTTCTGCATACTGATTTTCCACTGACTGAAGGGTCTCTTGAATTTTTCCCATATCTCTCTCATTCTTCATAGCTTTTAAGTTTGAGCTTGTGCTAAGTCTCCTTGTTTTGACACCCTTTAACCTTTTGTCATGTGTTTGTTTCAGTTCAGTTTGATCAGTGTCACCATCAGTTTTATCAGTAGTAAACACTTCATCTTTTCTACTGATTTTGGTATTTTCAACACATTCTACCTGGTTTTGAGTGGCAATTTCTTCATGGTTTTGGCTACAAGGCTGGACTTTAGGTGATGATAAGAGTAGTGCAAGTTTGGGATAGTCCAGTGCTAACCATGCTATGTATGCAGCACCTTGAACATGTATCTTCTTAGACTTGGCGGTATGGTAGAAAGTCAGAGATATGCTACCAAGGCTCAGTCCTTTTGGGCTGTGATATGTGAATTTTAGCTGGTGTCCTGTTCCGTTGTTCACATCAATGTCTGCATCGGGCTTGTGATACTGCCTACATACATCCAGCCAACGCTTGACTAAAGGCACAGACGTAATGGCTACAACAGCACACTGACTGTTATGCATAACTTTTTCAATGTTGGGGCCAATGTATTGTTCTTTGTATTCATAGTCACTACAGATATCATTTTCCCAATCATATATCTTTCTAGTTTCTGGATTGATAAGGGTAAAATATGCTTCACTAAGTTTCTGTAACTGTTCTTTGTCCTCAATTTCACTAACCTTGGCTGTGTATGCATGGGTTATCTCCTCTATTGTGCATCCTGTAGCTATNTTAAGCATAGTAAACCCCCGTGAGATCGTATTTGGGTTCTAGATCATAAAAATAATCTTACATTTGCACCAGAAAGGTGATATGCTGAACTTTCTAGAGATACATCGTCGGAGGCTGTAATTAGGTCAAGGTCGCCAGTTTCGGGGTGGACTCCAAATCGAGGCTGGTGTTGGGAGCCCACGTGCTCCATATTCTTTCACAGCGAAATTTTCAGGCTCCCTTCCTATGGTGTTTTTAGGGGTAAAATTATTGGAATATAGGTAAGTTTTGCTGTTGAGTGTATTGGGAGTAAGTGTAATTTACTATGCATTTATTGATATATTATATTTCCTACAATTTAATTTATTTTATTTTTCATAAGTAATAATATAGTATTTTGAGAATAACATGAATATTTAATTCTGAATTCTTTAGTTATTAACAGAGGTTGCAGTTTCAACTTAGCACCTAAGACTGCAACATCGGTTAGTTGCTAAACGTAAGTTCCAGTATAACACAGTCACTTATACCTTATTCTCATTCCGTGTATCAAATTATAAATTACTAGTCAACATATTGATGTTTTGTTTCAGCATGTAGGGGGAAAAACACAAATTTGTACCAGTTGCATTATTGGTATGTATAACACCATGAAGTTGGATTCCACAAACAAACTCTTAATGGATTTGTTATATCAATATCTTGTGTATCTTAATCATTGCTTAAATTACCTGTTTTTGTTTTTCTTTTTTAAATAATTTTGCTTAAACTTTTCTATAGTAAATGAACCGGGTCTTTTTATCAACAGTAGGCCTTATTACTGGCTACAAAATAAACAAAGAACCTTTTCTTTGTTGGAATTGTAAAAATAAAACAAATTAAAATGTCAACATAATTTTTAGACATATAAATGGAAATCACAATTTGTGATTTGGTGGATTTAGCCAGATTTAACTCATGGAAGATCTACTGTATAACGTAATGCTTACCTGGATAATCATCACCAATTTTTAATTATCTACTGTATGTAACGTCAGGGTGGTTTTCCACCTCAACCTGTATTTTAGTAAGATTGATTACTCCTGTAAAAAAACAGTTTGCAGTACATGTTCTGTACATATAGCCTTTTGAAATATGCCTTCAACAACATGCTGTTAATATAAACCCCTTCTTTAGAAGCGGTATACCTAACGTCTTTTTTTTTGGGGGGGGAGGGGGGGATTTTTGTGTTTTAAGCAACTTGCATTTGTATTGTAACGGTCAGATTTTGCACAAATTTGAGCTGTACATTAGGCAGATTTTTTTTAAATTACTTGTTTCTCAAACAATTTTTATTTTGAGAGGGCAGGAAATCCTATAACATGAATTTGGGTCACTTTTACAAACATTCTGGACAAGGTTAACAGCAATTTAAATTATTAAAGTGAAGTGAATATATATGCCTCGTTGACAGATGCATCAAAATGATGAACTTGTACAAATTTGTGAGAATACTTTTAGTGCAGTGGGTTTATATATTCTTATCTTTTCTAGGTTGTGTGTTCCAATGACTGAAGATTTGTTTAGTGCTTGGAGTAAGGAGGATACCAACTTCATCTGCAATCGCTGTGCCTTTACAGTAGATTTAGTCTACGATTTTGAAGCTGCTTGCAGGCGATTGAGAAACAATCCTACCCAGGTACTGTGTTCAAGTTCTATAACCTCTGCCTGCTTTAATGCTCATTTTCTGGTTTTCGACAAGTACACATTACTACCGTGTGTACAGTGCTTAACCTTACTAATCCCAAGATATTTTGGAGCACTTTCCTACCGACCAGGGTCTTTTTCAACCCCATGGCAATATTAATGAAACACCAAAATTAATTGGTATGATACTGTATTCCACTAAATAATTTTAGAACAAAAAGTATTATATTTTTTCTAAAGATAATGTTCTAATATATATATATATATATATATATATATATATATATATATATATATATATATATATATATATATATTTCCTGAAAGCAGATAGAAAATGTGACAAATTTATGACCAAACTGGATTCATTTCATCATAACATTGTCATTTATGCCTGGTATTTCTGTTCTACTTTCTTAGGATGCTGTAGCATCAGAGCAGCTGCTGCTAACAACATATCAAGTTTCACTTCCAATGAGATCACAACCCAACCTGGCTGAGGAAGACCCAGTGTCATTAAAAGTATTGAGGCTGTTTCATCCAATAGTGCTCAATACCCATAAGCCTCTAAAGGTGGGCACTGATGGAAACTGCCTATACAGGGCACTATCCCTTGGATTATACAGCACAGAGAACCACCACCTGCACCTTCGGCTCCTGACAGCCATGGAGATAATCACCCACCGAGATGACTACGACATTGAATCCCATCACTACAAAGGCTACCTATGTGGCACTGTGGCAGATGTCTCCAACAACGAGGTATATGCGGCCTGCAGTCCAGGCCAGTGGTCTGGGATGACACACATCTATGCTGCAAGTGCAGCACTGAAGGTGGCCCTCAGGTATTTATACATTCACCCCTTCGCAAATTAAGTGTTATTTGCTTAACGATTAATTGTAAGTTCATATTTTAAAAGTAGTATAACTTTGAGATAATTGATATGAATCCCTGCCATTTAATTTGAGCTTAATCTCATTGGATTAATTTGGGTTTAAATTAAAGAAATAACCTATTTTGTGCATCATTATTGTCTTTTTTTTTCTTTGTCAAAACTTGATGTGTGTGCATTATTTTTTATTATAATTTAAAAAAATACAGAAACAGTCTTTTCTATACATTTTAATTTGTTATCTGCACAATTATCTACTTTTGGAAGTCTATGAGAAATCTATGCATTTCCAGCTGAATCTACATTCAATTATATTACATTTCAAATTGAATTGAAATAATTTTACATTGAAAGTTTTCTAAATTTTTCCTAATTTCTTTTATCAGGTCCTATTGTCCCCCAGTGCTCAATGAGAATTTCTTAATAACACCTTTGTCCAGAAAAGTTACGNTTTTTTTTTTTGTCAAAAATAATTTAAGACACAGTGGCGTTCAGAGTTAATTTCTGGGCTATATTGAGCCTTCAACGGACCGGATTCGGTTGAAAAACTTTTGTTGCCATTTCCCAACCCTGATTGGGGAAAACACTCTTTTACTTTGCAATTGTTATGTATGAGAGGATCTAAACATCTATACATCTATACAACATGGACTACCTGGATACGTGAATGCTGTGAAGTTTTCCACTTCTTCACCCGTAACATCTGACACAATGACAACCTGCACAATGAAGCATTTGTTGAGAAAACTTGGCCTGACGTCCTCCGAGTGAGCAGTCACGTGAGCTTCCTGGTGTGAAAGCAAGTAGAGAGTAAACATTTAACTTCCGAGTTAAAAAAAACAAGAAGGCGTATAGCTTCCTTCTTACCAAAAAATATTTCATCTGAATGTTAAGCATAATTTCATTTCTGTATTACGGTATTCCCATTTCATACTCGTTCAAAGAGCTAGGAAACTGCCTCGAACAGTTCTTCGAAACATATACTAGCTGATGGCTTACAAAGAAACCCTTGATATATTTTGTAATAAGTGAGATAATTAAAACTGCAAATTTCTCACTGGATTCAGATTACCGTGGGGCAAAGAAAGTTTCGTCCTACCGGTAAGTTTATCAGTATATCTGTGCATCCCTCCTGTTCTGTTCTTATGTTTAATCGTTCCTTGAGTTCATTCTCTATGTGATAAAGAAATAACTGGGAAAATAATGAAAATGAGAAACATCACGAAGATTATAAAAATGGTGTCTCTAGGGACAGCGTGAAAATACAGTGTTACTTAAAGCGCGCGATTCATTACTATCCTGTTTATTCGTTAGGATTCCTTATACACTTACGAGCAACAATTTATCTCAACTTTGCAAATGTCCTTCTCTTTTCTCACGGGGTTTTGAGATAGCGTTCTATGTATGAGTTAAATGCCACCACCGAAAATACATAACATACATTACTGTAATCCAAACCTCTGTAATTCAAATAAATTCAGGCACCTTACATACCTCAATGAAGCTGACTTTTGCACCATCAGCCGTCCCTTTTAATTCATCAATATACTGGGGAAACACCGCTTTGGTTGTGTTCAGAAAGTTTTGAACCACTCTGTGTCCGTCTTGGGTGTTATAAAACGGCAGCAACTTTTGCTGTAATGTTGCATTCTGGGTAACGCACTCCTGAACCAGGTCCTGGGTGAGTTGGCCCTAAAGAAAAGAGCCATCTTTATGACAATATTTAACTTTCACTATACATGCAGGGACCCGAGGGGGGGGGCTTCTAAGTAGGCGAGTGGGTGTGGGGCAGAGACACAAGGGTAAAGAACCATCAATATTTTCCTTCGCTTTGTTTCGCTCGGTTTTCTAAAATGGGTGACTAAGAGTGGAGACTAAACCGTATCTACAATGTGCAAATGTACTTAATCACTGAAATATGTACGTGACGCGTGTTAGGTCGGTGGATTATAAACCAATTTATCCCATGCAATCGATGCATTTGTTTATACTTACAATTCGGTACCCGACATCATAGTGCCTCCCTCGGGCCCAGAAAACGGGGACACTTTCTTTGCTGTGCTCCTTCACAGAGCATATCATCCTACTCGACATCAGTTACGTCAGACAGGCAAAAAGTGCTACATGTGCATGAGATATCCCACGGGATTTAAACGTACACAAGCTTTTGTCACACTGGATGTGTGTGCGACATTCTTCCATTTCTGCCTTGGTGCATTACAGATGATATATGCATACTGCATTGTTTTACCTTTGCGATGTCAACAATATTAAACAGAGATAAGATCTTGTTGAGCCCTGGCACGCAAAACTATTCGGGTAGAAAATGACCATTGTTGAGTACAAATACCGGGGTACAGCCTTGAACTCCACCAAAGTTCGATTGCCGCAGAAAGTGAAGACGTCATAGCACAATTATTCATAATGGACTTTTATTTGATTGTGATGCTTATCAAGAGATATATTATTTATTTATCGGAGGGGGTCATAGCGGACTTGTACCCTTTCCTTTGGATCTGAATTAATTATTTCTATCCCCCAAAAATAATAATAATAAAAANAGACCGGATTCGGTTTAGAAACTTTTGTCGCCATTTCCCAACCCTGATTGGGGAAAACACTCTTTTACTTTGCAATTGTTATGTATGAGAGCTGATCTATCCTGATCTAAACATCTATACATCTATACAACATGGACTACCTGGATACGTGAATGCTGTGAAGTTTTCCACTTCTTCACCCGTAACATCTGACACAATGACAACCTGCACAATGAAGCATTTGTTGAGAAAACTTGGCCTGACGTCCTCCGAGTGAGCAGTCACGTGAGCTTCCTGGTGTGAAAGCAAGTAGAGAGTAAAAATTTAACTTCGAGTTAAAAAACAAGAAGGCGTATAGCTTCCTTCTTGCCAAAAAAGATTTCATCTGAATGTTAAGCATAATTTCGTTTCTGTATTACGGTATTCCCATTTCATACTCGTTCAAAGAACTAGGAAACTGCCTCGAACAGTTCTTCGAAACATATACTAGCTGATGGCTTACAAAGAAATCCTTGATATATTTTGTAATAAGTGAGATAATTAAAACTGCAAATTTCTCACTGGATTCAGATTACCGTGGGGCAAAGAAAGTTTCGTCCTACCTGCATCCCTCCTGTTCTGTATTTATGTTTAATCGTTCCTTGAGTTCATTCTCTATGTGATACAGAAATAACTGGGAAAATAATGAAAATGAGAAAGATCACGAAGATTATAAAAATGGTGTCTCTAGGGACAGCGTGAAAATACAGTGTTACTTAAAGCGCGCGATTCATTACTATCCTGTTTATTCGTTAGGATTCCGCATACACTTAGAGCAACAATTTATCTCAACTTTGCAAATGTCCTTTTCTTTTCTCACGGGGTTTTGAGATAACGTTCTATGTATGAGTTAAATGCCACCACCGAAAATAAATAACATATATTACTGTAATCCAAACTTCTGTAATCTAAATAAATTCAGGTGTCTTACATACCTCAATGAAGCTGACTTTTGCACCATCAGCCGTCCCTTTTAATTCATCAATATACTGGGGAAACACCGCTTTGGTTGTGTGCAGAAAGTTTTGGACCACCCTGTGTCCGTCTTGGGTGTTATAAAACGGCAACAACTTTTGCTGTAATGTTGCATTCTGGGTAACGCATTCCTGTACCAGGTCCTGGTTGAGTTGGCCCTAAAGAAAATAACCGATTTTATGACAATGTAACCTTGCGCATTCAGGGACCCGGGGTTGTTACTATAGGTAGGCGAGTAGGTGTAGGGCAGGGACACAGAGGTAGAGAACTACCAACGATCTGTTTCACTTTGCTCTGTTTTCTAAAACAGATGACTAAGAGTGGAGACCAAACCGTATCTACATTGTACAAATGTCACTGAAATATATACGCGGCGCGTGTGAGGTCGAAGGAAGGGCGCTTCTGAAAGGGCGTTGGTAGAGGTCAGGCGGATGTGCATCTGCAAAATATTTTGCACACTAGTTGAGGGAATTAAGACCTCCCGTTTACGTTGGATTATAAAGTAATTTATCCCATGCAAGCATTGTTTATACTTTTTTGGTGCCCGACATCATAGTGCCTCCCTCGGGCACAGAAAACGGGGACACTTTCTTTGCTGTGCTCCTTCTCAGAGCATATCATTCTACTCGTCATCAATTACGTCAGACAGGCAAATCGTTTAAGTTCTACATGTGCACAGGTATCACATGGGATCTAAATGTACACAAGCTTTTGTCACACTGGATGTGTGCGCCATTCTTCCATCTTTGCCTTGGTGCATTACAGATGATATATGCATACTGCATTGTTTTACCATTGCGATGACAACAATATTAAAAACAGATAAGATCTTGTTGAGCCCTGGCACACAAAACTGTTCGAGAAGAAAATGACCATTGTTGAGTATAAATACCTTGAACTCCACTAAAGTTCGCTTGCCGCAGAAAGTGAAGACGTCACAGCACAATTATACATAATGGATTTTTATTTGATTGTGATGCTTATCAAGATATATATTTTTTTATTTATTGGAGGGGTCATAGCAGACATGTACCCTTCCCTTTGGATCTTAATTAACTCTTTCAATCCCCCCCCGAAATAATAATAAAAAATTACAACATTTTCCACCCCCTTGTCCTACATAATAAAGAAAAAGTATCTAGAAGGTGCTGTATTACCTCCGCCCCATGTAGTATAGAATCAATTAATGAAGTAAAATGACAAACGCAACATGTAGGTTAATTGGTTTTAGGCCAGTTAAGGCCAATTTTTATTTTTTGTCAAAGCCAAATAAGATGAATAACAATTGTATTTTATCTTTGTTAAATGACCATGAGCTCAAAATTGTAATCGTCCAGCGTGAAGCTGTTATAAACGTCAAAAAACTTACTTTTTGACTGTGAAACAAAACAATTATCTCTATTCTTGAGACATAAATAATTTCCATTTTTGCCCAATATAGGATACAATTCTGCATTTAACTTACTTCCTAAAATTATACTTGCACTTAGTAACTTTTCAAATTTTATTAAATTGAATTTGAATAAAATTTTGCTAATTTTCGATTAATAAAAAGTTACCATAACTCTTTGCTTTACAACAGATTTACAACATTATTAACTGACAACATTGAAAACACTCAAATAATATAAATTTTAAACAACCTTAAAAGTTAGTTCAAACCGAGTAAATTATTCATTTTAAGCCTATATTACATTTGCTAGGTGATGTCCGTAAGGTGCACGTATACTAACCGTTAATCGGTTTTCGTTTGGTGTTTGGGTGGAGGAAGGTTGTATCGGAAGAAAACGTTCGGACTCACAGCCACCGTAAGCTTAACAATTTTGTCAAGCTAATATTTTCGAAAAATTAACTTATTCTGAAAACCACAAGCTTGGCGGCGATATCGTAGATGGAATTGCAATGTTCTCTTATGGGTAGGCCTATTGTTCGGTGGACTTGGGGTTATCGTGGTTTAGTGGATTAAAGAGGCATAAAAGTATTTATTGTATTAAAAAAAACGCACTGTCAATTCCTTGCATTAATGTGAAATTATTTGTTCTCTTCTTCTTGTAATGCGGGTGCTAAAATCATAGGGGGGGGGGGGAGGCATCGATAATGTACCGATCTTCAAGGAAGCCGCATGTAACGTGTCCTGTCAACATGGCTGCACTAAGACGAAAGGGCAGTGTTTTATCACTAACCGTTTTTTCCTACTTGACCTCAAGGTCATGTCGAGGCAATGGCACGGAATCTGCATGTAATAAACACACATTCTCCTTAAAAAAAATAAATCGCACGGAAAATCGAAGATTTCATCGCATGGTGCCCGAGGCAAATGTAATCAAGGCTTTAACATCGGAAACAATTAATCCTTGAAAAAATGTGCGAAAGTATCATGATATTCTCCTAAGATCATGAAAATATTTAACTTGAAATTTACCTTACACCAATCGTCAAAAATCGATTAATCATATATCCGATATCAGCTTTATGAAATGGTATGTTTTTGAAAAAAAGATAAAATGCACACGTGTGCATAAAGTAAATACTTTGCCTTTTGCAAATTTTCAAACTTTTTACTAATACAACGCTTGATTTTTAAGTATTAAGTTGATACTTACCGTACTTGGCCATGGATAATTAAGTAAATTTTTGCTACAAACTAATTTTCTTGCAATTTACTACATGTGTGGTACCAAACAAGAACCAGAAGACTAGCTTCTGTGAATGAAAAGGTGAACCAAAGCTTATCTGCTTACTTTTACCAGGGCTGACTGATTTATCACTAGATATTTACAGATGTGCCTCTGACTAATTATAAACACTTAAATATAATGTACAGTGAATTTTTAATGGAATTGTCGTCACTCAGCTGGTGTCTGGTATAAAGCACTAGTCTGTTGGGCTGGTTACAGATTACTCTAACTACATACAGAATAAAGCGCCCGCATCTTTGATGTCCAAAACGCATAATCCTTCCTAAACAACTATTTTGACAGTAGAAAAGTTTGTTATAATTGACAACGCTATGAGTTGTCCCAATGTAATGTATTATTATGGCGCCCACACAACTATTTACGATGAATATTGATTAACAATAAAACCGTATTGTTCAACTTTACAACAATTAAAAGCGTAAGACCACCGCGTAAATATTGATTTTGCCTCGGATACAGTTCCGTTATTTTGTCCAAGATTTAGCCAAAGAAGCATCTAAATCTTTATCTTTCCTTTAATGCTCTAACGCATACCTAGAAGTCCCACACCGCTGCCACCATCGCCATTAACATCCAAAGTCCAACGCGACCGAAATGAATGTTTCCTCGGTTCTGCTTCGGGGTTGAGAACGTGGTCGCACCTCCCGGAGGCGGCACGGAGCTGTGATGCGTGATGTTCTTCACGCAGGCAGAGAGCGATCCTGAGCGTATACCCACTGGCCCTCCGGATATCTCCAGCTGAACGTTTTGTAGAGCGTTTTCCATCCATACTTGCACTTGGTCGAAAATGTTGCGACCTTCCTCGTAGTGGGCTAGGCTCACGTGAAGG